CTAATATTGGGGCTGCTGGAATGGCTTCCCCTGCCGAGGCTGGTAGAGCTGCTGCTGTGGGAGTGGCCCCTGTCTAGCCTGAAAAGGCTGCCTCTACTGAACACCACCAGCAGGTGCTGGGAAACCAGGTGGTTTGGTGGTGTGGTCATTCCAAGAGAAGTTGGGATGCTGGCTTCACCCCTCATTGTATGTATTGCTGTATGGGTCAAGGCGCCGAGCATTGGCGATGAAGTCCAACTGCTCTTGGGGAGTAGATGACTCCCGCATATCCTGGGAGTCTTCCACCAGATGATTCGAGCTCTCACACCATTGACATTGAGCTACTGGAGGTACAGCCAAACCTCTGCCCGGAATAAGACCGTTGGGCTGCTTCAATGTCTGCACCAACTCGGCCACCTGCTGCTCGAGCCGGAACCTGGCCTCCAAGGCGTGCACACCACTGTCCCGGGAATTCCTGCCTCTTGTGCTCTACCCCCAAGAGTGATCTCTGGCAGCCAAGGTACTGATCATCTGGTTCAGTTCGGGTGGAGTCTTAGTAAGAATATCCCCTCCTGGGCATAGAGACTCAATCACCCTCTGGCTTTCCAGAGAGAGAGCACTGTACAAGTTCCCCACGGTGAATGCGTCACTGAAGCCATGATGGGGGCACAGCCAGAAAAATCCCATGTACCGCTCCCATGCATCACGAAGTGACTCGTCTGGCTCCTGGCGAAAGTGAGTGATCTCCCGCTGAATCTCTGTAGTCTTCGATGTCGGATAGTACCTGTGCACGAACTTGTTGGCCAGATCGTCCCAAGAAGTGTTGGACAATGGGGGTTGGGTCTCCAACCACCTCTTAGCATGCCCCTCCAGAGAATAGGGGAAGAGGTGAAGGCGGATTGCATCACCGGCTACACCGTTCACCTTGAACCCATTCATCAGCTGCAGGAAACGCGAAAGATGCACCCTTGCCTCCTCATCCTTCAAGCCATGAAACTGGATAGAGGATGTAATGAGTTGAATCCAGCATGGCTTGATCTCGAAGTTGTTCGCTGGAATGGGCGGGTAGAGGATGATAGGGCGGATATCGGCAACCCGTGGATGCTTAACCCCATCTGCCTGGGGTATTGGGTTGTTCCCCAGGATCTGGTTCACTAGGGGAACCTGGAGAGGTATCCCCTGGGGCGGGTTATTGTCTCCTTCCATCTCGTACTTATCCTCGGACTCGCTGCTCAAATGGCCGTCTATGCGCTCCTCCGTAGCCAGTCTAGCTCGCTGTTGTCTCCTAAGTTGACGACATGTGCGTTCAAGCTCTGGATCCAACGGCAGTAAACCTCCTGACTGGCTACGGGTCATGCACTACCTGCACACAGTCAAGCAGCGAACCCGTGAAGGCACAAGTGTGACAAAGCAAACAATGCGAAAAAGACAAGCTAAATTAACAGAATTCACGTTTCTTCAACAACCTAGCCGTCCCCAGCAACGACGCCAAAAACTTGACTCGCTCTTACCGTCACCCTAGAAAATGGCCAAGTGTAACCACTTCCTAAAACGTAGTATAGAGGGCTTGGGTTTTAATGTCAACCCGGGTCCTAGATGTGATGACTACTCCGTAAGTTCTTATTATTTAGCAGTGAAACTTTAGTGAAGGTCAACACAAGCAAAGCAAGTAAAAAGGTTGTTTTCAAGTCGAGAGAGGTCACCCGGATATGGTTCCCCCTAGACTGCAGTTAAGCCGGATTATAATTTACCAAGTCCAGGTTCAATGATAGTTATACTGCGGGAGGTTCTTAAACAGTCTGAAGTCTCGACTAAAGGTCTCCAGACCCTCTCAATCTGAGTCTCCAGCGGGCGACTAACCTCCACCGGAGTAAGCAGATTGAGGCCCTAACGAACCAAACCTCCACTACGGAAGTAAATTCGGTACAGAATAGTGAATTGACTCCTCGACTAAAGTCGCCAATTCACTACCTTCAATCAAGGGTGCTCTATCAGCCTAGGCATATATTCTCTTTCCAGGTTAAAGCAGAAAAACAAGAATTTGATCAGGATTCATGCCATTCAACAAATCAAACCTCAATTGAATATAATCATATAACAGAATCTGTACTTGGGTTCATACAATCAGACCTAACATACAAATCTAGGGTTCTTCATACCCAGGTGAATAAGAAAACTACTCCATAGAGAGGGATGGGAAATCTAACTCAGATGCGGAAACCATACTGTGAACGATGATAATCTACTTCTAGCACTCAATCATTTCTTCTCCAAGGTCAAGCCGGGCTCCAATGGTGATGGAGATAGATCTATGACACTTGCAGAGTCAGGTTCGTCACTTTCTCTCTCTAGGTATCGCCTTTTCTCTTTAAAACTCGGAACCCTTGTCTTTTGCCCTTCTTTACCCTTAAAAAGCTGTCTGTCGCGATCCCCGGTCTGAATACCCGGTCGGGTATTTCGGGTGGCGACCGGGTATATTCGAAATGCAGCGTCTGAAGACAGGGGAAAATCCCCGGTCAATGCCAAGAATCACCGACTAGGGATTTTCGCTCTGTTCCCGGGCTCCCTTCTGCTTCTCAGAGACGCCCGAAGCAACAAATCTCTGGTCTGCTCCAAATAATATCCGGTCGGGTATTTCTGCTCATGACCGGGTATTTTGCTCTTCCAGCACACTTCACCCCAAACGTGCTCCTTTCGATCCGAAACTCGTTTCTTCGCCTCGATGCCAACGCTAAGCCCTGAAATATGACATAAACGCACAACCTAGCGTGAAATCGGCTTAAAACACAAGAATCAACATCTCAAACGGCTCAAGAATAGGGATAAAAACATGTGTATTCAATGGTCTATCAGTATGCTCGGTAGAGTGCAAATTATGACTGTGAACTTCTACGAATTCATACACTAGAAATCCGTCCCTAGTAGCATCCCATCGAAAATTAACACGGGCGGTACATCCATCCCTAACTCGAGGCCTTTTTCTTTTAGGGCGCTTTCTCTCCACAACCTTGTCTTCCGACAGTCTTTGTTTGTCCACATTTACTTTGCTAGTGGAAATCCAGCCTTGCTTATTACAAAAGTAATAAAGGTATGCATAATTTCCTCCACCACTCCTTTAGAATTCTTAATCTTTCTTATGTGCACCCCATATATTCGAACACCAAACCCTTTTTTGTGAGCATAGCGTTTATAGAAATCCGAACACTCATCCTTAGTGCGATAAAAGATGTTCTTCCTCGCGTCCTCATCATCTAGGTACAACGTTTTATGAGCTGCGATTTAATGTTATAAGGCATGTTATTACCCATATTGTCCAATAAACAAATGAAATCAACATGCCCATACTACTATCCAACATAAGTCAAAACCGTACCCCACCGACTGTTAGAATACATATGCTTCAACAAATATCCAGCCTTTCAATAAATAGTATCCATTTATACCAGACTAGTATCAAACATTGCATTAAATAGTAGGTTACACACCACGTCCAACATGCCCAGACTAATATCCAACATTTTAGTAAATCGTATCCAAAACCCCGTATCAGTACCCCATAACAACATCAACATCATTAAATGTCATTCAATGCAACCAACCAATATCAACAACACAAACATATATATTATTCAATCAACCTTCATTTTTTCTTCTTCTTCATCGAGGGCAGGCGCACCACCTGAATCTTCATAAAAAAACTCATTTGATGTAGGATAGGGTTCTTCTTCTCTAATTTGGACGACCGGCTTATCCTTCTTCTTCGGAAAAGCTCGTTGATCTGGCTCACCATTTTCGTCGATCCCCGTCTTGTACCATGGAAGGCGGCGGACGAGGGACATGCTCGTCGGTGGGGAAATGGTCGCCGGAAGTTATGGTTGGCGGCGACTCTGCCTTTGGAAGAGGAGACTATTAGAGAAAAAAAAGAGAGAGGGGTTGGAAAGCGAAAGTGGGTGGGTGAGCATTTAATTCCAGTCATTTCCCCTTTTTCTTTCCCCATTTTCACGTCACTTTCCCATCCCCTTCTTTCCTCAAAATCCCTCCCAAATTTTCGAAGCCAATCAGCAGCCAACCACTAGCTCCCTCTCTTTGGCTTGACTTGGGCCAAAAAGCCCACCTTTTGTCACTTAAGTGAGCCCATCCTCCTCTTCATTTGGATCGCGGCTGAGCCTCCAAGGACGAAATCCGGGTCGTGTCAGTATCTCATAACAAAAGCATATGTTAGGAGATTAAGGCTGTAAAAGCGCAAAGCCGCTCGAGAGCAACTCGGCGTTCAAGTAAAAAAAAACTCGTCCGTTATTTAACAAGCGAACTCGCGAGCCAACCTCGTTAGTAAACGAGTCAAACTTGAGCTAGACCATGCTCAGCTTGATAAGCTTGTGAGCTAGCTTGACACGGTGGCTTATTGACCTAAGCTCGCAAGCTGGCTTGTTTAGAGCTTGTGAAAGGATTAATTACTCTTCTGAACATCGATATTGTTTTGTTAATACAAATGTGTATGGAAGTTAGCTATTTTTTTTTATAGTTTCTAGTATTCTTTTTATCATTTAAATTCTTATCTTTACACATTTTTCAGCAAGAATGATTTCAAATCGAGCTCATCTTGAATCGAGCTTGTACTCAGCTTGACAAGCTGTGTTAATGAGAATTTTTATCTATCTCTATCGAGTCGAGCTCAAGCTATATTATTTTTATTCAAGCAGAGCTCGAGCACTAGCTGGATTATCAAAATTCGAGTTCGAGCTGAAAATTTTATAAACCAACCGAGCTCAAGCTAAACAAAAACTCGACACTACTTGGCTCGTTTGCAGCCCTAGTTAGGAATAGTCTTACCTATGAAATCATGACACAGTAACACACAACGTATAACCATGAGAAAATTTTCCAACTATGCTTTCTGAAGGACATTTCAATGTTTAATCGAGCACGTGTTAGACATAGAATCAAGACACAATTTAAATGCACAATTCACATAACAAGAGGAACTTCTTTCAACTAATCCTGATTGCAACTATTACACAACCAAGTCCATAAGAATTTTATTCACAAGAACCCTTCAACATCTATGCAAGATCAGAAAGGTACCACTATCACAAACGAAAGATTATGGTCTCACAATCCATTTTCCTTTTTCGCCGGCTCGACGATCCCTTTCGATCGTCCATTGACTTTGCTTCATACCGCCCTTGAGTAACTCCATGACCATGGCTACCAGCACACCAGAGATAAGGCACTCCTATACCAGGCCGGAACGGAAGGAGAAAAGGAATAGTTATTTATGAAAAAACAAAGATGGAAAAGTAGAGATTATAAAATTTGGGGAGAAACCACAGAGATGATCAGTTCTTATATGATGCGTGACAGCCTCACACGTCGGGAACTAGAAATACGAAAACTAAAAGAAACTAAAAATATCGGGGTTTATTCTTTTTTGATAAATAAAATGCAAGGTTAAGTACATATTTATAGGAGAGCTTCCATAAACCTAATTCTCTTTAAACATGGTAACCCTAACCTAGTCCAACTCTTACTAGAATTACCGACTAAATAAGAATAATAATCCGAATACTAATCCGACAATAAACCAATAAACCAAAAGAATATCCAAACAATTATAATAATGGGTAGACCGGCTCTACCCATCGCTTCCCGATCCGCGCAAATGCATCAATCCTCCCTCCTTTCGAAAGCCTCATCCCGAGGCTGCAGCTCAACCCCGTCCTCTCCAGCCGATTCAGTTCCGAAATCCCCGATCATGACAAACACATGGTTATTAGCACATCGATGACCATAGGTGAACCGTTCGTCGCAATTGTAGCAGAGCCCATCTCTCCTACTCCTGGCAGCCTCCTCCGGCGTAAGATTGCGAATGACTCAGCGGGTGGGTGGTGGTGGTCCTCGTCCCGCCACTGGTGGCGGCCCTGGTGCGGCTACAGCCCGGAGCTCACCTTTGGCGTCGTTGACGTTCCCCGGGAAACAGCTCCCATCGTCGCTTTTTCTACTCGCATCTCCTCTTCTCGAATTTTGGCCAACCGATATGCATCCCCGGTATTTTGCGGATTAAAGGCGCGGATGTAGGCCAAAATTTCCAGCTTCAGACCGCCCATGTAGGTACCCATAATCGCCTCCTTTCCCCACCGACGACAGCGATTGAGCAGTTTCTCAAATGTCTGCTGATAATCTTCCACGGTCCCTGTCTGTTTGATCTTTGCCAGCGCCTCATGTCCCGCAGCTTTCTCCGAGGCCCCATACCTTTTCCAGAACTCCTCACAGAAGTCCTCCCACCACATCTCCTTCCCACTCTGCTCGAACTCCTCTTCCAACCACATAATCCAATGGTTGGCGTCATCTTCTAGGTGGAAAGACGCCAAGGCCACCTTCTGCTCATCAGAAATCCCCTGGTACTTGAAGTACTTCTCCACCCTTGACATCCAGCCGGACGGATCTTCATGCCCAGTGAATCGTGGAAACTCAATAGTAGCCTGCCGACCCTTGAACAAAGCAGCCGCTGCTTCTCCCCTTGCCTCCAATCGTCCTGGGCCCACGGCTCCCCGGTTTGGTTTGCTCGATTCGCCCCGGTCAGCTTCCCCCGGCTTCTTGGTCTCGCGGTGTGACCTACCTTCGCACGGCCCCCTGGGCCGGTCACCTCCTGCCGTACCCGACCCGCAGGCCCCGCCGAGCTCCCTCGGCCCTTCTTGCTCCGACCGACGAGGTTCCGTGCCCCTCATCCTCGTCCTCGATCCTCCTTCACTTCGTGTTGCCGCCCCACCCATGCCTGCCGGTAGCCCCGACGTTGGCGGCGGCCGGTAATCACCCGCATCGATCGCCAAGCTTCTCCATGCGCCGCCTAGGGCCTGGATCGCATGATCCCTTGTCTTTAGCAACTCGCCGCCCCGAGCCCCTCGATTTGGCGTGATTTGCGGGGTCACAGGCAGCGGGGACGAGTCTCCCCTCTTTTTTTCAGCCTCTATCACCGTTCCCTTGAGCTTATCGCCTGCCAGGATCTGATCAATAGTCTGACAAGCCAGCTCGCGACTCCCCAGCCCTGCAATCATCTCCTTGAGCTGTGCGATCATTGCCCAGAGTTCGTCCTGGCCGCGGCTGATGTGATCCATCTTCGTGTCGCCCTCGGCTTGTCGTCGCTCCAAGGTTCCATACCCGCTCCGAGAATCGGTCCGGACTTCCTCCACAACAACTTGCAGCGCCGTCTAGCCCCTCTCCAGATTCCCGGTCGTGCTCTTGATAAGGCCGAGCTCCCCCTCAGTCGCGCGGAGGCGGCGATCGAGAGCCTCAGCTCTCGCCCTCATCTCCGCCAGCTCCCGGTTCTTCTTGGGAGGCATCGTCGTCCCGGTTCTTTTTCGAAACTGGGCTCTGATACCAATTGACGCGTGATAGCCTCACGCGTCGGGAACTAGAAATACGAAAACTAAAAGAAACTGAAAATACTGGGGTTTATTCTTCTTCGATAAATAAAACGCAAGGTTAAGTACATGAGAGCTTCCATAAACCTAATTCTCCTTCAACATGGTAACCCTAACCTAGTCCAACTCTTACTAGAATTACCGATTAAATAAGAATAATAATCCGAATACTAATCCGACAATAAACCAATAAACGAAAGAATATCCAAACAATTATAATAATGGGTAGACCGGCTCTACCCATCGCTGCCCGATCCGCGCAAATGCATCATTATACCATGAAAACAAAGAACTTCACGGCGAAGGGAAGCTGACTCTTATAAGTACCGTCAATTGCGAAGCCAAATCCAAGCAAAGTACAAACTTTGATGAAGCTTAACATGGTGTTCTTCTTTGATCAGCAGGGAAATATGTCATCAAACTTCACTCTCTCTCTCTCTTTCACTCGAGATGGGTTCAGGTCTTATGTCATCAAACTTCAGAAGTTGGTTAGATCATTCTTACGGGATGAGAGAAATTTAGGTAGGTAGTAATTAGTTAGTAGTTTTTGAGTAGGTAAGGGTAATTAGAACATTAGAGTGGATTTTAATTAATTAACTAGGTCGAAAGTCCATGCTCCGCACGAGATGTTCACTTCTTATTTTATTAAGATTTGTATTTTTGTAAATACAAATTATTATTAATTAAAAAAAATAAATCTTCACACAATACAATTTTCAATTGCATGAATCGGTAAATAAAACAATATAACCTAAGATCAGTTAAAGAAATTGTGTTCAACCACATATAACACCGGGTTAAATCTACTGAATCACTCTCATTAAGGTACTACACTTCTAAGCTATGAGCTTACGAGAGTAACTGGACTTGATGGCCAATTAGGAAGCATATTCGAAAATATGCCTCAAACTCTTCTTTGCATGTCTTTTTTGCATGTATTTTTTATTTTAATTGTTATCTGTACAATTTTTGTAATGGGATGTATGTATTTGTTCTTTTACAATTGGTTATATTTTTATTATACAGAAAATTTTCCAGCATTTAAATTTAGCAAAATACTTTCGCTTAACATATCATGATTTTATTGCAGTATAAAAAAGTTCTTCATTTTTTGTTGATGTCTTAATGAAATCTAATCCAAATTTGTATGTCAGCTATCATCATATGGATTAAAATGGTATAAATATGCAAGGTTTGCAATAACAATATCAATTATATTTATAACTCAAGAGATAAAGTTGACAAATTAAAAATTCTTGTTTAGTTTCTATCCACTTTTAAAAGAAAATAGGTTGCAACAGCAAGTTACGAAAAAATCGTATGCAATTATAAAGCCATTTATAATTTTGTACGATATTGAAACACTAATTATAATAATTTTAGACTGACGATAATTAAATTTGAATAAAGCTGAGTTGAATTTTTTAGTCCTTCTTCAAAGTGAATAATTTAATACTCAATATGTTCACATTTAAATTATTAATTAGAATCCAAGTTAACATTAAACTTAAATATTAAGAAATTGTCTATAGGATATAATCAAAGTTAAGCATTGAATGATGTTTAGACGAATTACTTGCACCAAATCATGGTTTAACAAACCTTTATAGAGATCACATTCGAGAGATCGCAAATGATTTTAAGAAATGCATCACCGCATAAAAGGAGGATAAATCATTTATCAAAATTTTATTAAAAAATATAAAGATCTAAGAACCTAAATAATGTACATATATGAAATTAATATAGTTTATTCTCTTTTCTCCTATTTAATTTATTCTCTTTTTTCCTTATCTTTTCTAAATCTCTAATTCTCAATTCTTTTCTTTCTTTCTCAATTCTTCATTTCAACTTCTAATTTTTGTCTCTCAATTCCTTAATTCCTTTCTAATCTATTCGGTTATGTAAATTACAAACACCCGAGAAAACATATTTCTTACAATTTGAAGTCTCATTCAGTGCTTGCTTTACCTTCAAGTTGGTATCTCCATCGAGTTTTGCTGTTTCGGCATAACACATTGCTTCATCGTAACTTGAAGAGAGTAAAAGTAGATCAGCAGGGAAATATAAAATATTCAAGACGAGAACGACCATGATAATGTAGATATATGCAAGACAAAGGGATGAGATATCATGACTATCCCTAAGCGGGTTGGAAAAATGACATATCCTAAAATTATAGGCTTGATTATATAATTTTAAGGTAAAAATTTGTGTTGCATTTAATAATCTGTGAGAATAAAACCCATATTAATTACTTTCCTTTTTCAGTGCAATGATAGTTGTATCAGTGCAATGATATTAGTGTACAGGTGCACTAGTAATTGTATCACTGTAATGGTAATTGAAAAAAATTATTGTAATTAATATGATTTTTTAATTCCAAAAATTATTAAATACAACACAAATTTAATACCCAAAATATGAATAATTAATAGTGTTATTTTTCTGACCTCTATGAGGGTAGTCAAGCTAACTCTATCTCGCAAAACGCATGCTCTAGTGAGGTTTACTTGCTAGGACTGTTGTAATGGGCAGAAGTTTCCCTGCAAAAAAAGTAGAAACCAACGTTGAGCTGTCGTGAGAAGCTTAGTAATCAAATCTGTCATCCAGTCTTCTGAAGAAATGTAAGTGATCTCAAACGAGGAGAGCAAAATAACACTTATTTTTAGCCAAGTCACAAATGCCAAATGACTAACTTGTGCAACTAATAGACCCTGTATATTTCCCATATTCCACGTCCAAATGACCGTTAACTTTCCAATATTGTATCTCTATATGCACTAATACAACAGACATTCAAGCATAAGGGCACCCAGAATCCTGCTTGCTCGAAAATTACCCACGAAAACCGTTAACTACACTTCGAATTACGGTTTCCCTTGTCAAGAACCCTTCGGTCACCCCAACAATACATTCAATCCCTCCGCTTCCGCTTCTCTCTTTTGCTTTCTCCACGATCTTTCTCCCGACGAGAAGATCTACTGCTGCTGTATTCCCTGCTCTCATCTCCCCTATGATGACGTCGTCTTGAATGCTTTCTACTACTACTGCTCTTCTTGTCTCTGGATGAGGAACCTTTCTTCCTTCGGCCTTTTGATTTTGAGCTGTAACGGTCTTGATCGCTGTCATCGCCTGACGATGAGCTGTACGAGTCACTGATGTTGTCATAACGGCGTTGGCGTTTGGAATGCCTTCTATCCATTCTGTCTTCCGAAGGTGGAGGACTCTCCTGCTTTCTATCTTCTTCAGTTATCTTCACCACCTTAACCTCATCAAGTTTACCACGAGGCGGAGATTGATCATCCATTGACTTGGGTACTTCCGCAACCATCTTCACACTACTTCCATCTCTGAGATTCAGACCGGTGGTTTCTTTCTCCAGAGCAGATGGGTTCTGGTTCGTGTGAGAATAGGGCGGCAGGTCAGGAGGAACCTCCAGCCCCAGTTCTTTGCCTAATGATTCTAGAAAGTCGCCAGCCATTAAACGGTTTAATGTTGCATTAGCCACTTCTACTTTCTTTTCTGGGTCTTCGACTTTGCTGACTTTGGACGTTTCGGCTTCCTCGTCAGAATCATCTGAAAAAATAGCCTGCCGAATGGAACGCAGAGAGGGATCGATATAAGCAAAGATGTAAAGGCACTGTTTCACAGTATAAGTTAATATCCCTTGGCTCCTGTTTGGGATAAGAATATGGACACACTACGAGGAGCTATACCTTGTAGAGGTCGACCGGCCTCTCTACATTTTCAAATTCCACCACGACTTCATCTTCTTCCTCATCGGCTGAACCATCCCTTACTCCTTGGGCACTTGATTGTAGACCACCGGAAGAGCGATTTTGGTTTTGACCAGTCTTGTCTTCTATCCTGGGAACTGGAATAAACTCTGCTTTGAATACGAGAGAATCAATCTTGCCTCGCATCCTAGGAGGTGGCGGCAGCTGCAAGTGACAACAAATTTTAATCCATTATTTCAATTCGGCTCACACTTGATCCATATTTGATTTTGCCAAGCCAGTTATGGTCCAAACAAGAGACCATAGTTGACTCAGCAGGGTTAAAGAAGAAACCAAAAGAAAGCAAAGGTAGAAAAGTACCTTCCCCATATACGGATCAACAAGATCAAACCGCTTGCAAAGAACAGGTGAAGGTCGCCATTGATATTCTTCCCTTTTTGGGTACATTTTCTTCATTTCAAAATCTTTATCCAGAGTATCTTTACTCTGCTGGTTCAAAAATTCCCAGTTTGAGACCAACCAGGAAATAAATAAGCAAATAGAAAGTATACTACAGCATACCATACCTCTACACCAGCAGAAGTGAATTGCATGCCAGCACTGGTGAGGAAATCCATAGATTGTTGTGCAGACAAATTGCTTTGTTGGCCGCGATTTGCTTTCTCTAGTGCTTCAGCTGCAAGCTCAAAATCCAATCTCTCTTGAGCACGAGCAGCTTCTGACATATTGCTAGCTCCACCTGAATCTCCAGAGCGAAGTCCTCCTTTGTATTTTTCCTTGAGGAACTGCTGAAATCTCTCCTGCTTTGCAGAGTTGTCTTTGAATGGCTTTGATACTTCAGGTAGCTCACTCTATATTTAGTGTTTAAAAGAGTTAAACAAGAATCCAAAAACAATCAATCAAATCCAGAACAACAACTTTAGATCAGAAAACTTCTAAAACTCTAACTCACTCAGAATTTCGCCAAAATCAATTGACACAATTACAGATAAATGAAATAAAAAATGCAAGTACTTACAAATTGCAAGGGTTTCATAAAGGTATCTGAAAGATTGGATTGCAGGTTGACATCTGGTGACACTAAGCTAGATGAGCTTCTTTCTAGAGGCCTCTCCCCTAATATTTTGCCACGGTTCTCAGCATTCATCTTCTCTGTCTTCTGAGAAGATTTTCCATCCGAAGGCAAAGGCAACTTCTTCTGATCTTTATACTTTTGTTGCGCCTCCCATAATTTTCTTTCATAGTACTCATGGCCGTTTCCACCCATAAGGAAGCCAAATGATGGATTGGACTGATTTTTCTCTCTAGAAAGATCCTCAAACAATTTACCACATCGACCAACCAATGTTGCTACGCCCTCAATTAAGACTTTCATATTACTATCCTGGGGGGGTGGAACGTCAGGGGGAGGGGGAACAGCAGTCTTATCTTCAACCTTTAAAGGACCGGCAAATTTGTGGCGTGGAACAAAGTCCTTAGGAACTTCAGGAGCATTAAATCTGGGCACAATTTGAGAAAACACAACTTGAGATACAGCTTTGAGTAGCATACCACAAGTAACAGCTAACTTTTGGTACAAATTGGAAGCAAATATGTACATACTGCAACTCTTCCATAAGCACCATGCTACTCACTTTTCCACTTGATAATCGGAAATGGATGCAACTTTGAAGCCAGGAAGAATGCCTGGTTCCTTCCAGGTCAATCTATGCTTATGGTCTGTCATCGGTTTGGAGGAATCTTCTACTTCTTGGACGACAGTATCTTCAAAGTCATAAGCTGAAAGAACAGAAACACAAACCGAAATTTGGCTTTTCCGTATAAACATGATCAAAGTGCTTTTAGGGGGACTTGAGCCTGAATTTAAGGATATGAACTGATAAATAATGGAGCAAATCAAGATCCCAGTGAAATATACAAGATCAAGACCAAATTATGGTAGAGCAAGAGTACGAAAACAACCCCCCCCCCCCCCCCCCCCCCCCCCCCTACAACAACAACAACAAAATTCTTTTTTCAAAGTGTAGACCCTCCACAGGAAATTGACGCGTATCTCTTGTAAGTAAATAACCGTAAGGTTTGTAAAGAGGCCAGACTAAATTTTTCATTCACCAATGCGACTAGTCTAAGCATTTGGAGTTGGACAAGAATCGTGAATTTGGTGTGGAAAAATGAAACTGATGCATTTACCATGTTTGATTCTAAAAGCTGCTTCCTTTTGTAATTCTGTCACCAAACAGGCCATACTGCAGTGGAAATGATTAAATACTCACCAGTGGTATAGACATCCTCATCTTCAATATCATATTCCTCTAGCGCTCCAATGCCAAAACCAGGTCCAGCCTTTCCTGCTGATGAATCATAAAAGGTTAGTAAAGTCAAGAAAGATCAGTACCCATGGGCAAAGGTAAAAGGAACAAGAAGAGCAGTATTTAAATCTGAAGTAGACTCAAAGGATAATAAATCTTACACTTGGAACCAAACAGATTATCACTGATTGTCAAAGCTTTACTATTGCCAGGCCCTTGGGTACCAGATACACGTGACCTTTTCTTTTCTGAAAGTTAGCGAAAGAAACAAATTAGGACACTTTAACTCAGTTTCTGATGCCATCAAATCACTATGAAATATCCAACCTCTGAACTCAGGAGCATGCTTATAAGGGTCGTAACCCAAACCGTGCAAGTCTTGCTTTGGCTGAAGTGCATTCAACTGCAACAAGAAGAGATGAGTGCAATAAAACGGTTAAATAATCACGATTCCTAACTGCATTAAATCATTACCCACATAACTTGGCACAACTTCAGAAACGAGTTCTATAATCATTCAGATTAATGTAGATGAACTTCTAAAATAAACGATTCGCCACGTGAAATATGCATCCATTAACTAGTGGTTTATGATTATTTATCAGACTATAAAATCTTAATAGTTTCCAATTACACTTACAAAGTTTTACAATGAAATTTTACTTGAGCTAGCTAGGTTCAACATAGTTGCATCTGGAGAATATTTCTAGATTTTTAGATAATATATAAGAATTGACTCATGAGACAAAAAATTCATATAAACTAATATAAATTCCACCAAGAAACGACAACAGTGAGTTCCTCACAGCTGTGTATTGAGAAGAAAGATTATCATCATTGACCGGTCGTTCCAAGGAATTTGAATGGTCATTCTCATGATTTGCATCGCCATCAATATTTGATTTGGTATCGTCACTTGAAGAAAATGCTATGAAGGCTTTTCTGGCTTCTCTACGAGCATCTGCAAGGAAAGTGCATAATGCAGTCAAATAAATAACAAGTAGGATACGCAGTGATAAAATTACACCAGAGGTATACGACTACATTGACGTGAGAAGTTCTAACCTTTCTTTGCAACTAACATTTTAGATATATACCTTCTATAAATATGGATAGACATTAACATATATAACAAAACTATTTACCATAGAGTGAATCTGTGGATGAATCCTTAATTGAACGGCCATGCCTCCATCCCATCTTAAGTAGAAGTTTGACCCCTGTTTGACAAAGGCAAAACAAGTACACTAAGAGCCACAAAACTTACAGAACAAAAACTCAAACGAACAAAGATATAAGTCAAGCATACCAATAGATTCAGCAGCCGGAAGCACTAGTTCATCAGGAACAGGACCAGGAATAGCAGATGGTCTGCCATGAAAATAAGGAGTAAAAATATCATGCCACCATTCTCTGGGACTTAACATTGACACGAACTTATAGCTAGTAGTCAAGAGTGTCTGCGTCACCGAGTGTTATAGAAAGCTCTTATATTATGTTTGGCCATCAAAACAGAGAAATAAAAACAAAATCATACTGCATTGACAGAACAATTACTACACTCTTTTATAGAGCAATATAAAGCAAGTTTATTCCACATGTGCACCACAAGAATCTAAAAGGCTCAACGACCCAGTACTTCATACAAACATAAGTTGCTGACATCCTCTTGCGAAATATGTGCTAAATCATTAGACCACACACTCAATGCTCTGGCTGCAAACAAACCCTCCATTGATTATGAGAGCAAAGATGGAAACAAAAACAAAATGGAATCCGGGGTCAATTAGTGATGGCAATGGGGCGGGGTACCTCAATACCCATGCCCCGCCCCACGGTATTGCGGAGGACGGGTAATACCAGTGCGGGTACGAGGCGGGGCAACCAACTCTTACATGTTATTTTACGAAAATACACGCAAATTTTCATTTTTTACGATAAAACAAAGGAGAAAACACTTTATGAATGAAAAATAGTGATAATAGATTGGGTAATTGACTCTAACCAGTTGAACGGTCGTCTCTACTAATTGAAAAAAAGTCCAAACAGGAGAAATATGAATGAATACTATAAGAAATTGAGATAGAATGGGCAGGGCGGGGCGGGTCAGAAGTAGATACCCATATCCCACTCCACGCTACTACGGGTCGGGTAATACCCACCCCATCACGGGTCAAGTCGGGTAATACCCGCAGGGCGGATTCAAATTGCCATCATTAGGGTCAATTTACACACTTGAGTAGATTATATGATTTAACTATAGGTACCATCCATGGCATATCAACACGATAGCAATTAGTAATGATAACGCCTTCGGAATAAAGAGTTTACCTTTTATCTTGCTCTTTATCAGCCTGTTTACGAGCAACTTCAGAAGCGGTAAATCCAAATGTATCAAATTGTGTTGAAGTTGCCAAGGATCGACCCTCCATGTCCTAAAAGAAATTAAAAGTGAGAAATAGCTCAATCCCAGACAAAACTTCTTACATAGAAGGAATAGAAAACTAAACAAAATAACTAGATAACTGAGAAATACTGAAATATGCAATGTATTTAACACTAAATATTTTCAAACAAATGATGAGTACCTTGGATTCCCACAGACCATATACAGCAAGATCACGTCAAAATTGAAGTACTGAAGTAAAGAAGGGCACTGTCTACTAAACCCTACCCTTATATGATATATCACATCCTACAGTACCCATTTCCAAGGGCCATGGACTAATCAACCCCCTCCATTACCCAAATTCAACTAACAGCTGACCCAAAAAGAGTAAACTAACACAATAGGGGGGGGAGAGTGGGGCGAGATGGAGATAGGGTGTCAGATTCCCCTCCTTAAAATTTCTAAATTGAGAAGTCAGGTTAAGCCCACATAAATCCTCCATGTTTAGTCACTCGCTAGCAGTGATAAGGTTAAAGCCATAATGAACAAACAATTTTGCTAGAAAAGATCATACCGCTTTCTCATCGTCATCCAAAAAGTTCAGGATGCTCTGCTGCTTAACCTCAGCTCTGTTTTTCCTCGAGGAAGTAAATGTTTGAGGAGCCCAGCCTGCAAATTGTTCAACAATACCCATGTGTCCAATCAAACGACTCACCAAGCAAATGAAAGAGTACAGAGCACTTGTACTCGGCGTGCAAGAGCGAGCGGACGAACCTTCTTTAGAGCCCACTGTATTGTAATAACCAGCAGAGTATCCACCAGTAAATGCTCCATGGAATCTTCTTCGACCCTCTTCGTCTCTAACCTGAACATAGGTAGTCCAGGATTATAAACAAACACAGAAACCACGAATTCACGTGTCTTAGTTGCAGTGTTCAGTCAGAAAAGAGTCTGTTCGATTCTCATAAGGTACGCAGAAACCATCAAAGACCTAATCTCCACACTTCTATCAGTACATTCTAGCCTAGAATTAATCATGACGACAATTCTTCATGTGCTCTTACTGAAACATTCAAACTTCCCCAGAATCAGAAATAGACAGAAGAAACAGATCATTACCTCCTGCTTCCATGTAGGTAGGGTCCGGAGCTGACCGGAAGCCTCAGCGACGGCTTTCTTCTTACGGCTGCTAAGCTCTTCTTCTCGCTCTATCGGCGTCCCGTAGAACACCAAATCCCGCTCGTCCATATCCTTTAAAGCGAGTGCCGATCAAAGGGGAAAGCGTAAGAAGGTACTGCGGTCTGCGAATGGAGATGATAGATAAGAAGGTACTACAAGAGACGGGCAAGAAAAAGAGAGCCCGTCGACGGTGGACGACTGAACGTGGTCGATAGCAGGACGGCGAGACTTGTTCGGCTTCACGAGACCTCTTTTCCTAGTTCCAAACGTCATTTTACTTGGCGCTGGGCCCATTTCCTATAGTGTGGGCTGGACTCGGGCTCCCGAATACTAGGCCCGGTTGCAAACATGCATTAGCTTCTTCTCGGCCGATTCCATATCCTAATCCATTCCTTATCCATACAACGGACGGGACAGTCCTCGGTCGGAGCTCTGGGCGAGAAAGAAGAAGAAAAGAGCGATTTGCAAAGGCGAAGATGACGATGCTCATGACGGCGGCGGCCGGTACTTGTGACAGCAGATGGAACATGGCATCCTTAAGCGCTGCTTTCCCTAGTCCCTCTCTGCATTCTTCTCATCCTCCTATTGCCCGCATGCGATTCCAATCCTCTCGCACCTCCCACGCCATCGCCGTCGCTCGCCGCAGCTCGCCGCTGCACTCGTTTGCCGGACTTGCTCCTCTTAACCCTCTCCTTTCCCTTGGGTTTACTGGTAACTTTCCGCTTCCTGCTCCTTTCGCATTTGACTTCGTCGCTATAATTCATTTCGCGACCAACGATTCAATTTTTCGTTTCCACGCTTCTAATTGCCTGTTTTTTTGCATCCAATTGATAATTTAGCTGCATTTAACTACTTGTTGCGTCAATTTTGTGGTTAGTGCGTCACATTGGGTTGTTTGGTTCTTGCAGAACATGCTAGCAACCATTGCTTCCCTTCCATTGATAATGGGTCACGATTCTACGCAATGCGACATGGGAAACGAATTGCGAGGCTCAATCGGCCTCCGGACCAACGCAAAGCATTGCTGAGAGGCCTGACTACGCAGTTGTTGAAGCACGGTAGGATCAAAACCACTAGAGCTCGGGCTAGCGCCATGAGGAAGTTTGTTGACAAGATGATTACGTTAGCCAAGGATGGGTCGCTTCACAAGAGGAGACAGGCACTGGGGTTCATTTACGAGAAGCAGATTGTGCATGCCTTGTTCGCCGAAGTCCCGGATAGATATGGGGAAAGAAATGGCGGATACACTAGAATTATCAGAACTCTGCCCAGGCGCGGGGACAATGCCCCCATGGCATACATTGAACTCGTCTAGGTACTTTTTCTCGGAATGAATCCCCATCCTTGATATCGAATCAAAATGGCCTGTGTGCACTTGATGATTGTTGCTGAATTTGAATCCTGTGATACTCTGTGATATAATGTTAGAAACCGACGGGTTGGGCAGGTCGGGTGAGGGGATGGCAGTTTTGTTATTTTAATTATTTCTCTTTAGTATTTAAGAGGAGGAAACACTGTTCTGCATATTAGTCAATAATCAATATTTCAACCTAAATCCCTAAATTTCGAATTCTCTCTATCTTTTGTTCTTCCCCAATTTCCCTCAAATCCCTAATTTCTTCTCTTCTCAATCCCTAATTCTATTGTGGAACTTCTTTGTTTCTAACATCTGGTATCAGAGTTCGGTTCCGACCGGCGAGTTTTCTCAACTCCATCAAGGACAGCTTCCGACCAGGAGAGTGATCAAGGACAACAATGGAGAAATTGAAGCAGACATGGGCTCGGAAGCAAGAAAAGATGTGGCAGATTGTGGGCTATTGGAAGGAGAGAGCGGCGCGCGGCGCTGCGGCAGGGAAGGAGGACGAGGGTGCCGCAGGGGCGGAGGACGAGTTGCGAGCCACAGCGCGCACAGCAGCAGGTGGCGGTGCGGGGAACGGCCCGCTCGTTAGGGCGGCCAGAGGCGGGAGCGGAGGTCGCGGGGCGCGCGGCTGCGTGCGAGGCAGAGGACGGCGGCACGGGAGAAGGCCCGTAGACGCGCGCGGAAGGAGGGGAGACGGCGGCGATCTCCTTGCACTCTGTAGCTGGGATTTCGTCGCCCGAAACCCTGCGGTTTCGAGCAAAGGTGGCCGGGCAGCAGGGCCTCGCCCTTGTTGACAGTGGGGCGTCACTAAATTTTATCGGGGAGGACTTTGCTAAAACCCTACAGATAGCAGCGAGTCCGACGCAACCGGTAGTTGTCAGAGTGGCTAATGGTGCGCCGATGCGGTACGTTGAGGTGTAAAGAGACCTGACTATGGAGATTCAAGGCCTCGAGGTCACCAGTGACCTTTATGTACTGCCTCTGCGCGAGTTCGATATTATTCTCGGTATACATTGGCTACAGATCTTGGGACCGATAACTAGTGATTGGAGGAGTCTTACTATGTGCTTCAAGTGGAGGGACAAGGAATGGAGGTTGAGAGGTCTGACCACGGCCATTGGGCCTGTCGAGATGGAAGAGTGCGCGAAGGGGGAGGACTTGAGAGCCGGATACCATCAGATCAGGATGCAAGAGGAGGATGTGCCCAAAACAGCATTCCGCACCCACAATGGCCATTATGAGTACTTGGTCATGCCATTCGGGCTGTGCAATGCTCCATCTACCTTCCAGGTAGCCATGAATGACATTTTCGGCCACTCTTGAGACTGTATGTCTTAGTATTTTTCGATGATATACCGGTATATAGCCCGACTTGGGAGGACCATTTGAGACATTTGCAGGAGTTGTTTGAGATTCTTCATAAACATTAGTATTATGTCAAGGCCTCCAAGTGTGTGTTTGGAATGCAGAAGGTGGATTATCTGGGTCATGTGGTGACGCCTCAGGGAATACAGGTGGACCAGACCAAGATTCAAGCCATGGTGGACTGGCCTTTACCCACCAACGTGACCGAGTTACATGGCTTCCTAGGATTGACGGGGTACTATCGGAAGTTTGTGCAGGGATATAGTATGATAGCGAGACCCCATCTACTACCTGCAGGGTTGTTGCAGCCGCTACCGGTACCGAAGCAGGTTTGGGAGGACATCAACATGGATTTTATAGTGGGACTTCCTCCCTCAGGCGGCAAGACTGTGTTGTTTGTGGTGGTAGACCGTTATGCTCACTTCATGCCTTTGGCCCATCCGTACACGGCGAAGACCGTGGCTGAGCAGTTCGTGACAGGGGTGGTGCGGCATCACGGGTTCCCTCGATCTATTGTGAGTGATCGGGATCCAGTCTTCTTGAGCCACTTCAGGCAGGAGGTCTTTGATATGGCAAAGACGGCGTTGCGTATGAGCTCGGCCTATCATCCGCAGACAGATGGACAGACGGAGATCGTGAACAAACATCTGGAGCAGTACCTCCGGTGTTTTGCCCATCAGGAACCCAAGAGCTGGTTGGCCATGATTCCGTGGGTTGACTTATGGTATAAAACCACATACCATCGGGCCATTCAGATGTCACCGTTCGAGGTCTTGTACGGTCGCGCCCCATCGTCCCTGGTACGGTACATGCTTGGCGACAGCTCCGTGGATGCGGTGGATCGATGATTGGGGCGAGAGATGAGGCGCTGGAGCAGTTACGCAGTACGTTGGCGACGGCCAACAACCGGATGAAGCAGATGGAGGATGCTGGTCGGAGGGAAGAAGAGTTCGAGGTGGGTGACTGGGTACTACTGAGATTGCATCCCTATCGGCAGGCCTCATTCTTTCGGCGTGCATACCAGAAGCTAGTTGCGTGCTACTTCGGCCCTTATGAGATTCTGCAGAAGGTATACCCGGTGGCATACCGTTTGCAGCTACTTGCGGAGTCTCGCATTCATCCGACCTTCCACGTTTCCCTGTTGAAACGTTACCGAGGAGCAGCAGATAGAGTCGAGACGACTGCCCCTCCTGTCAGTGCGGATTGAGATCTCAAGCTCGAACCGCTAAGGGTGCTCGAGACGAGGTGGTCGAAGAAGAAGGGACGGCTGGTGGAGAAGAGTTTGGTGTTTTGGAAGCATTTGGAACCGGAGGATGCGACATGGGAGGAGAACGGAGAGTTGCAGCAGAAGTTCCCGAACTTCAACCTTGAGGGCAAGGTCGGGCTTAAAGAGGGGGAGAATGTTAGAAACCGACGGGTTGGGCCGGTCGGGTGAGGGGATGGCAGTTTTGTTATTTTAATTATTTATTTTTAGTATGTAAGAGGAGGAAACACTGTTCTGCAGATTAGTCAATAATCAATATTTCAATCTAAATTCCTAAATTCCCAATTCTCTCTATCTCTTTTTCTTCCCCAATTTCCCTCAAATCCCTAATTTCTTCTCTTCTCAATCCATAATTCCCTTGTGGAACTTCTTTGTTTCTAACATATAAGGATGGTATATTTTGGTTTTGTCTTTGCCATCTGTTTTTTGAACTGAGTGTTTGATGTGAGTCAAAGATGTTCAAGGTCTCAAAGTTTCTTGTTCTCTCTGGACTTGTACTTTGGCTATGAATTTGGATGCCCAGTTAAGTGTTGTAGCATGTTATATCGTCCAAATTACTTACCTTTGAATAATCAGATAACTATGTAAGCCTGCACTATTATGCCTATGGACGTATGAATTACCACCCTGAAACTGCTATCTGTATCTCACCGCTGGCCGTCCACAGAGTTCCTCATGCATTTTGGTTGTTTTAGATCTATGTCCTTCACTCTTCGGAATGCACTCACAATAATAAGCATGAATTGTGATCCACAAGTTATGGTTCAGTTCTGCTGTGTTACTAATCAAATTGGTATCAGGTCTTTTTCCATCTTTGCTTTGGCATGTCAATACTACTATGCATTAGTTGTCTCGGTCTCTCAACACCTACATGCTAACTAAACAGTACTGTCACCATATGCTTTAAAGTTCTCCATCTTCAAGATTCACGACATCTTTGCTTTTCCACCTTTTAACACCATGTAACGTTAGGTTTTGGTGGCTCAATATTTGCCTTCCGATTCTTGTTCCTCTGATGATATTATTTTGGTCTAATTTTCCTGATAGGTTGATTGAAGTTCAGGGTCTTGGTGCATCCTGGAAACTGGACAGTTCAAAGTTGGTGTAGCTGCTACAAAGACATATGGTTCTTTTAGTTTCAGAACTATAGAGTCGGCTTGAAGCCTTATATTTGTAATTGATGTTTGTAATTTTGTGAGTAAGGAATTGATCCTTCTTTGTTTCATAGTTTCTTCGTAGTTCTTAGTCCTCTCCTGCTTCTTCTCTTCTGTCAGTTCTGTGGTACTGAATATTTACTTCATATTTTGTCTGCTGACTACTGCTTCTAAATTCTCTTTCTTTGCCTCCACAGTAACCATATTAACATATCCTGATGGGCTGGCCTGTTGAATTTCCTGGACACAAAAGCCTGCCGGTGACGGGCCCGGTAACACCATCCGACCTGGTTCTTGTTAATCCTCCACGGCACCTAAACGAAAAAGTCAAGAGTACAGGCCCATTGACTCCTCCGTCCTTACGCGGGAAGACACAAGAAACGACCTCTGATTCGCCCAATGTTTCAACTTTTTGTTTTTGCCCCTTGTGAAATTCGTTCTCTCTCAAGTCTCAACAAACGAGAAGATAAATCACAAAAGTTAAAGCGGAAAAAGAGAAAAAAAAAACAGTAAACTCTTATCACGCGCTAAACGATCCGTGTGCCTCACCGCCCATCAAAACAGCGCGGGTCCCACCAGCGACAGCAACAGGCAAGAAGTTCGGTCAACCGTAGTTCCAAAGTGAGCACGCCCGCGCGTCGTTCAAAGGAGGAGAAGCAACCAATCAGTCATTTTTCTTTTTCTTCATAATATTTTTCGGGAAGGGTGGCCGGGTGGGTGCCGGGGGGAGGTGGGTCACTGTTGGCAATTGGGAACTTTTTTTTTTTTTTTGTTGGTTGCTTTGCCCTAATCGCCTGGGAGCGAAACCTGCGTCGCTTATCGTGAAGTAGAGGATAGAAGGGAAAGTGACGATACCATCACCTCCACCACCATCATCATATCATATCATATGCCCTTTCCTGATAAAATCCATATGTATCATCACCATCACCAGCCATGCCGCCTCCGCCCTCCATCTTCTTCTTCTCCCGCTTGATCGCTCCCTACGCCGGCACTCCGACTCGGATCCCCAACCGGTCGACTCGCTCCTTCTAGGTGTTTCCGGAAAAGTCTTCCCCCCGCCCCAGCGGTTTGACTCGGTGAGTTGCTTACTCTTCTCTCCCTCTCTCTAATTCTCTCTCTTTCCTCGGTTATATCTCCGCCCCCGTTGTTTTTTCCGATTCTACGTTTTCCAGATCTGTGTTCTCTTCTGATTAATTTTCCTTTGGTTTGATTCTATTCGATGTTATGTGTGGCCTTGGTACTGATTTTATTCTCTTCCGCTGTTTAGGGTTTAAAAGAAGTAAAGATGGACCCGATGGATATTGTTGGTAAATCGAAGGAAGACGCTTCTCTTCCTAAAGGTAGAATCTCTGGTTTGCAAGGGATCGTCGCTTTTCTTTTATGCATCAATTATGTACGGCTTCAGCTGTTGTTTGAGTTTCCATGTGGTGTGTTGTTGTTGAATGTTTCGATTTGAGATGCTCGTTGGAGGAAATATTTGATGGATGATACAATCAATGGGATCTTTGTGTTATCGGTTCCTTGGCTAGAAGAAACATAGGAGCCAACCCCTGAAGATATTGGAGCTGGGCTGGGAACTATTAACGGAATGGTTGAAAGATCTTCCGATGAATAACTTACTTGGGTACCTAACCTTATGGTAGGTCCTTTGACTGTAAATGTAAGAGTAATCGTTGCGCAAGGTTGTGAGGAGACTAGGCTTATTGGTCATGGTCTTTTGTGTGTCTCTGGATAGGCAAATTATGCCTTGACATGAGTGGCATCGATATTGTCAAACCCCTCTGTCGCAGGGGAGAGGCGAATAGGTAGTATGGTTTGGTCGTGTCAGCTGTGTATGAAACTCTTAGCCCTTTCAATTGTTCAATGGTATCTTGCCCTCTTAGTTAGTCATGGGGTGATGTCACATTGTCACTGTAAGTTAAGTATGGTCTTGATGTCTGAGAATTTGTAATGGGATTTCTTGATCACCTGGAGCTTCATTTCGTGCCTTGATTACTCTTTTATCAGGACTAATGTTGCCGTTGTATGATATAACGCATTAATCTGTTAATCCCTTAATGGTTTTCTTTGTCTATGATTTCTATGCTTTTGCATCATCTAAAATGCTTGTCGGTGCTGATTCTAGTTGTGCGTGTTGGTTTAACATGTCTGATCTTCTACTGACACAGATTGTGTGTTCTTTTTTCGCAGCAACTATGACCAAAATTATTAAAGAGATGTTGCCACCAGACGTTCGTGTAGCACGGGATGCTCAAGATCTTCTGATTGAATGTTGTGTAGGTGAGTTTTTTCTGTATTTTTCGAGCAGTGTGTTGGCCCTTGTCGTCTCTAATAGTCTGTTGTTGCATTATAACTTTCTTGTAGGAGATCTGTTGGCCCTTATCGTCTCTAATAGTCTGTTGTTGCATTATAACTTTCTTGTAGGAGATCTGTTGGCTTCTTGTCTTCTTTTGAGGATTTAACCCATTTTATCATGCTATATCTCAGATCATTCTGTTCTTTTTCCACACTGTACTTAGTTTCCTAGGTGCCTCAACAGGTTTATATAGTTTGTGGCTAGAAGTCTTCAGTAGCTCCTGTTTATTGCCTCATTGTCTCTTCCATCAGTGTTTTCAATCATTATAATCATTGCTTAGTCGGTAGTTTTTGCTCTCCGCATGGGTATATGCTCAATGGGGGTCATCTCTTTTTTGCAGAGTTCATTAATCTTATATCCTCAGAGTCTAATGAAGTATGTAGCAGAGAAGATAAGCGAACCATTGCACCTGAACATGTTCTCAAGGCTCTGGAGGTTCCTACATTATTCAACTTTTTTCAGTTATCCGTATTGTTTATTTGGGTGGCAGGTTTAGGCTCAATTGTTCTGATAAAGAAGTATGTTGGAAGGTGAATTAAACTTTGGTTTGGCTATGTGAAAAATGACTGCCAAAGTACAGCCAATGCTTTCCAAGAAATTATTGAATTGTGTGAATGTTAAGATAAGATATATGTTGGAGAGTTAGTCACCTAACACCCTATCTCTGCCCTTGTCAGGTTCTTGGTTTTGGAGAGTACATCGAGGAGGTTTATGCTGCTTATGAGCAACACAAGCTTGAAACAATGGTAGTTTCCGAGGATGAGACGATCTCCTTTGTTCCCTACCATTTTTGTTGAAATTCTGGCTTGACAGAGAATGCTGATTTCTTGTGCGTGATTTCAGCAGGACACTTTGAAAAGTGGTGGCGGGAAGTGGAATGGAACAGAGATGACGGAGGAAGAAGCAGCAGCAGAGCAACAGAGAATGTTTGCAGAGGCAAGAGCGAGAATGAATGGCGGTGGGGTTGCTGCCCCGAAGCAACAACCGGAGGACGATAGAAGTTTAGAGAGCTAATTTGTAGTAGTGGTATTTCAGCCTTTTTCATTATCTTTTCTTGTACTTGAAAAGATTGGGTTTGGGATAGCAACATAGGCAGGCAGGCATCTCTCACATAAATCTTCTACCGTGCGCTCCTTCTAGTAGTGGTTTTATTTTTTTCACTCATGATTATTAATATATATAGTAGGTTTGTACAAAGAATGCAGTTGGCAAGTGCAGTTTAGTACCGCTGTGGATATGCGCTTGGATATGTGTACTTTAGCCCCCTTTGGATCTTCACCGTGATGTACAACTCAGGAAAATGTAATTACTTCCAAGTATGTCGTTCCAGACACCCTTCTCCTTTACTTGCGTGTTACCTTGTGTTGTAAAAGCTCAATGATTGTGTAGACCAAGGATTTTGAAACTAGAAAAGGAGATTATATTGGAAAAGCCGAGTATTTTGTACTAAAGTGGTGGTTTAATTGTAGTTCAGCCATTTTAAAGAGCAAAAAAAGTCATTGTTTTGGGTTTGGTGTTCGGATCGATCGATTGCTATGGTAGTGTTTCTTAAACAGTGGATCGATCGATTGCTATGGTAGTGTTTCTTAAACAGTGGTTAGACGCAATGTTTGGTTTTGGATGTGGTCATTGCTGCGAACAACTTATCAATAACCATTTGTAGAATGTCGATAATGCACACTAACAAAGTATTCGAGTAACAGTGTCACATGCTCCAATCTTTGTTTCAGGGCTTTGGTTTCTCTTTGCGACTAGTTAATGATTTACTGCCATCTCAGTCGTTTGAATTGGTTGCATCATTCATATATTTGTATTATCCAATGCTTGATTTTGTAGGTGACCTCAATTTGATGGTGCTGGTGTCAAACTAGGCCTAGATTCTAACTCTTATTGGGATTAGGTTGTTTGTTGATGGTCCTTTGATGTGCAATCATCTACAAAATTGTTACCACATGCATACAACGATCTTTGAACGTAAATTTCCCGAATCATTAATTTTCTTGTGATGTTCTAACACTATTAAGAGTTAGACCGTATTTGAATGGACTCCGGTAACCAAATTTTTTTCTATGCCCCATATTATTCCATGTTTGGGTGGAGAATAATGTGGTTAATTTACCATTGGATGGCTGAAATGTCATGATCTGGTGTAATGATATCAAATTTGATCATTCCATCATTCTGGCCTATGGGTGCATAAGGCAACCGATTCTGATAAGCCCATTAGCGTTCAGTTTAGTGAACCCATGACATTGATGCCACGAACACAAAGATGCCAACAAGAACAAGGTGAACATCTGAAAGACGTGGCCAAACTTCGAGAGGGAGCATAGTCGGCCCCATTTGGGAACGTAAAGTGTAAAGGGTAATTGTATTGGTGTTGAAGGTGGTGGTAGAGAAAGAGAGAGAGAGAGAGAGCAGGTTGGTTCAAACGTAATGGTGACCTTTCATTAGAAGAAACAAAATCTGCTGGATTTGATTTACTGAACCCAACGCTGCTCCCTCCCCTGATTCATGTTACGAAGGCAGGCAACACTGTTGCAGAACGAAGGCTACAGTTGCTGTGCTTCGGTTGCAGAGCATGTATTATTTGTAATGAAAGGAGTGACAGCATGGCGTCAGCGTGTCTGCAATGGGCAATGGCTGTCTGATTTGCTTCCTTTCCCCTTTTGTGCTTTCTTCTTGTTTTGTTTTGTAATGTTTGTTCTGTTTCAGATCTTGGACGAGAAGAGTTTTAAGTTCAAGTTTGAGTTTTTGGTAGAGTTGAGATGTTGGGTTGTTGACTTGTTGTTGCCACTAGGCAGCAATCATACTACCAGAGTACCAGTCAATGCCTTGTTATGTCCTTGTTTTTTTTTTTCTAACGATAAACTGATGGAAAATTGTTTAGAAACACAAGCCTATTCCTTTAACTATTAAATTAGTATTATTAGTAGTTGTAGGGGTATACGACTAAGTATAGTCGAACATTTTAGGGTTAATTATTAAGTTTTTGGGACTATAATTCATATAAATGTACTTTGTACATTACGTTAGAATTAATCAAAGAAGCAATATAAAAAGTACCTCTCAAAATTATAATCTCTCATATCTCAATTTCATTATTTATCTCTAAGGTTGTTGATCATTCTCTCCTAAGTTCTCAATCCAGTTTTGTTTTTCCTATCCTAAATCTCTAATTATCATTTATAAATCCTAAATCCCTTTCTAAATTTATCCGATTAAGTTTAGGGAGTTGCTAAAGGTCGCCCTTAAAATTGCTAAAGGTCGCCCTAAAAAAGTTTAAAGTTACACTTATAACCCCCTATCTTCTTTACCTTCCTTTTATCAAACAAACACCACTTGGACTAAAAAAACACTATCTAAGGAGAGAAAAATCCATCATCGTCATTTTGAAGCCGATATTGTCGGTAGGACGTCTGAATCATCAGTAGCGACTCCGACGAGGTAAATACCGAAACTGAAAAACGAAAAAAAAAAAAACCAAAAAATGCCGAACCGCAATTGACCTGCGGTTTGACCATGGTCCAACCGCAGGGGATTTGCGGTCCAGCCATCGGTCAACCGCAGGGGATTTGCGGTCCGGCCATGGTCCAACCGCAGGTCACTTGCGGTTGGGCATTTTCTGGTTTTTTTTTTTGTTGAATCATTTTCTATTTTTTATATGATTTATGATTTGTTCCATGAGATAATTTGTTGGGTTTTGATTTATATAATTTTCTAGATTTATTTGCATAATTATTTTTGGAATTGAAGGATTTAGCATTAGAAATTAAGATTAGATTTGGCCTTAAATTAAGATTAGATTTAATTTGGTCTTAATCTAGAAAATTAAGATTAGATTTTGCATTACAAATTAAGATTAAATTTATTGCATAAATAATAGATTCGCATTAGAAATTAAGATTAGATTTGGCCTTAAATGAAGATTAGATTTAATTTGGTCTTAATCTAGAAAATTAAGATTAGATTTTGCATTACAAATTAAGATTAAATTTATTGCATAAATAATAGATTCGCATATGAAGTTATGATGATTATTAAATTTAATATAGTTATGAAATTTTAAATTTATCATATGGTACTCGTTAAATTGACGATATAGAATGTTAAGTTTTTTTTTTTTTTTTAATTTGTGGGGTATCACTTATAAATTCTGATAACATTGCAGGATATTGGAAGTTACAATCCGGATGGCCATGATTACACTTCGGATTTCATTGATGGCGTGAAATACACTACGGAGTTGCAAGACCAATGTGACCTCCAAAGCTAGGGATCACATCGGGAATCACTGGTCCACCTGAACACATCGGAGACTCGGCTGTAAGAAACCACGACATATCTTTCCTCGTGGTCTTCCTCTTCCTATTTCCATCTCCGCCATCCTCGCTACTAGGTCTGGACGCATAGCATCCATCGGGGACACGGAAGTGGGAGGAGGCTGTAGAAGATATCCCGACCCGCGCCGTCTTCCCCACGCCTAAATCAGCTTGAGGTGGGGCATCCCCATCCTCAGCAGCACCAGCAGCATCACCAGCACGATCACAGCATCCTCACCAGCAGCATCACTAGCAGCATCACCAGCATCTGGGGCATTCCCAACCTCAGCCTCACCGTCATCATCATCATCCTCGTCAATGGAATCACTCCAATTAGCCTGCCATACCGGTGCGCTCTGTGGTGTAGGAGTACTGGTAGTACCTCGACTAAGAGACAACTACCCCACAGTAGGGTGGCCGTCAGGACGCACTACATCCGCCTTCTTCTTCCTTCTAACCTTAGGTGGATTTTTTTCTTCATTTTCCTTCCTACCAGTCGCCGTAAGTCTACAAGCACGACCTTCCATTCTCTCCTTATTTCTCGCCTTAATCATATCCGGTATACCCATTCCATGTCCAGACATCTTCAAAAAAAAGTTTGAATTATTAATAATGGATTATTAATAATAGAGTACATAAAGTAATAAATTAAAGATTTCCATAATTAAAATTGTAAAATTAATAGTTTGAACATTTATGTTACGTTCTATGTAATCATTATTTACATAAAAGTAAATAATTAATCAAGGTAAAATTATTAATAATTAAGTAGATAAACGAATTACTTTGAAATTTTGATTATTAAAATGATAAATATATATTTTTAATTTTTTTATTATGTTCTTTAAATTTTTTATCATTAATTAACATTTATCGAAAACATTTTTTAAATTTTTATATCATATAACTAAATTATAACTAAATTAACATTATAACTAAATTAACATTATAACTAAATTAACATTTATCGAATACGTTATCATTAAGTATAATTATAACTAAATTATTTTTATTAAATATATATTTTAATTATTTTTATTATTATTAACATTTATTTAAATACAGAAAACTTAAAAACAGAATTAAAAAAAAAAAGGGTCAACCGCGGTCAACGCGCGGTTGAACCGACGGCTGACCGCGGTCAAAGCGCGGTTTGACCGATTGGTCAATCGCCCTTTGACCGCGGTCAGCCGTCGGTTCAACCGCGCGTTGACCGCGGTTGACCGTCGGTCTGACCGCGGTTTGATTGCGGTTGCCATGTATTTTTTTTTTTTACCTTCTTCTCCGGCGCGACGGAAGGCTGCTGGTGACCGGCGGGCGCGCGGAACGAGCGGCGGGAGCGAGCAGCGGTCGCGGGCGGCGGGACGAGCGGCTGGAGGCGACCGGGGGCGGCGGAACGACCGGCAAGACGCTGGCGGCGAGCGCGCGACGCTGGCGGCGGGACGAGCGGCGGCGGGCCGGCGGGAGGCGACCGGCGGGCGCGGGAGGCGACGGGCGGCGGCGGCCGGCGACGTACAGGTGGCCGGCGGTGATGTGGTGAGGGTGCAGAGGTGAGAGCAGTTGAGGGGAGGGGGAATTGAATTTGAATTCAGAATAAGGGTTTGTTTGTTTTGAGTTTTTGCTTAAGGGCATATAGGTAATTTTTCAGTTAAGTTAGGGCGACGTTTAGCAATTGTTAGGGCGACATTTAGCGATTCAGTAAGTTTATTACAAACGTATGAGAAAGTGTATATCTTACAGAAAAGTATTGCTTATATATCTTTCAAAAGCCAATAACAAATATAGGAAAGAGTATGCGTTTGAAATAACGAATATTAGATTACGTAAATAAAATTTTCAAATAATCGACTAAAAAATTTCCATCCATAAATATGAAAAATCCTAACAAATATTCATAAAAAAATCCTAACAAATCTAACTTTCTAAGATGGCTGCAATACTAAAGTACAACAATAGCATGATGGTGGGGTGAATCCACCAATAATATATAGTACACTTTTGTATACTTTTTTCCATTTTAAATTTCTTGCTCTCTCCTTAATTTTAGATAGGGGTGTAGTGGTAATTAAGAAAGTTAATAATTAAAAAATGGTTAGTATACAAAATATTTTTAAACGTGGGGAAGTTAGCCCACCAAACTTCAATTTTTAGGTTAGCATTATTTATTTATTTATTATAATAACAATTAATCTTTATTTTTGTAATATTCTTAATTTTTCAATCATCTTTTCATAGTGTGACACATGTTACTTTATATTTTTACTTTTTCATGGTATATTCTCCGATTATAATTATCGGTTTGTATTTCATTTATTCTAATTCCGAATTCTAATATTTTTGTGTGATAAAATCTTATTTTTTGTTATGTACACAAGATACTTTTGATATGTTTTAAAATAAAATATTTTAAGTCTCCTCAACATGTGGTCATCAAATCCCAAGGGTTGATCTAATGGTAATGTGGGGATGAGATTATACCAGCATAGTATTAGTTGTGAACGATCATGGTATAAATTTATATAATGAAGGCATTTGCATAACATCAATTTACATGATAGTTTTAAGTGCCTGAAGTAACAGGTGATGCCGTAACGAATTTTATTTTAAAATATGCAAAAGTTTATTTCAGTGTGTGATTACAACTACGTTGAATTTATTGGATTACACGGATTGGAATTAATCAACTACGTTAGTGTTCATAGCCACAAACTTTGAGATAGAGATATTGAAGAAGTTTGTGTAGCTAGATGTCAAGGTATAAACTCGCCTTCTTAATTGCTATTGATTTGTTTTGAAGGTGACTTTATGCAAAGGAAGATATTTTTGGTTTGAGGTTTATTAAGTTGTAAGTAAATGTATGGTTGACAAAATTAGCTTTATTAATTACTTGAAAGGATATTAATCCCACTTTAGTTCCTAGGAAATCACCACAATCAAACATTTATTAAGTTGAATCTAACAATTATGTTAATTATTGCATATTCGCATATTTTGGGCTATGATGTTGTACAGTGGATTTTAGTGTTAAGAATTAGGGAATTAAGAGTTTAGACTATATATTTTCAATGTATTGACTTGAGGATATATGGTTAATCGTATAGGCTGAAAGAAAATATGTATAAGCTAATAGAGACATATTTACTAGGATTCCAATTTGAGGTTTAGATTTATGATGAAAATTAGATAAATATATATTTTTAAAAATATTTATCATAATTATTTTTGAAACATTTTCTTATTTAGATTTTTCAAAATTTTGGGCTCTGAGCTTAATATATTATATGTAGGCAATCGGTGGCTAATGACTACATAACCTAAAAACTAATGTGTTCTTTGGAAAAGATTGAGTTGAGAGTTAAGGATTAATGGTGAAATATTTATTTTGTTTGAGAGTTTTGCTTATGATGTGATTGTATGATTGAATTGTTTTATAAGACTATTTATTTTTATTGTCAAATACTAATTTAAATTTCATAATCTAAGTTAACTTCGAAAATGATTACTAATATACTATAGTAAAAATTATATGAGAACCATTTTATTATTGCATTTACCAATCGAAAGTGCAATTTACTAAAAATTAAAATTATAAAAGTTCGGGCCAACTGGCCGGGTTAAAAGCTAGTTTTAATTATATCTATGTTGTTAAAGACTAGAGCTTGATCGTCGGTCGTGGAGTTTAGTTGAAGGTAGAGGTGGCAATTTATAATCTAATCCACAAATCCAATCCAATCAATCCACTTAATATTTAAATCCAATCCATTTTATCCAAATCCAATTGCATTGATGGATTGGATTCATGGATGTTGGTAAATTACACTTTAGTACCTACACTTTTATACTTTACTATTTGGTATCTAAAATTTATTTTTTAAACAAAAAATATCATTAGAAAATTACGTTTTGGTACCTAAAATTTTTCAAAATTTACATATTGATCCAAGGCATCAGTTTCATTTGGATTCATGGATCAATCCACCAATCCATGTCAGGGGCGGAGTCAGAGCAGGCCAAGGTGGGTCGGCTGCACCACCTTGGTTTTGCAACACCTGGGCAAGTAATAGGCTTTTCAGTTCTGCAGACTTTGTTTTCTGTTCATAATTCATACCTTGTTCTTGGTCGAAGCTTGTATAAGTAGCTGCTTTGATCGAATAACATAAAAAGGAAGCTTGCTTTTGTGTTTGATGAATACGTCAACGTTTTAAAATTACTTTAATTGACGTGAAAGTGGGCTTACATGTTACATATCACTTTAAGTCTTTAACCCTTATTTTTCTTTGAGCTTGCTACAACAAAACGAGTTTCTCTCAGGTTTGTGGGCTTAAGTTTAACTTTAGTGGCCCATTAGCTTCTCTTTACTACACGTTTTTTACAATAACTCAATTAAGGTTAGCTTAGTAGTTAGGTCACATATAAAGTTGTGGACATGGGCTATTAGTGCATAGGCAACAATATGTAGTACGTAGGTTAGTAAGTTAATTGGGACTTGGGAGTCTTTCTCTTGGATGTTGCTGATTTGGGTAGGTTTACTAGAACGGTTTGGCGGTTGTTAGGTTTAAACATTAGGTTTTTCTAATTATATAAGATGTATGTTCCGCGTTAGTTCGAAATTAATCAATCAAATAATAAACAAAAGTTTTTTCGACGGAATTAATAAATCAAATAATAAACAAAAGGTTTTTCGACGTCTACATCGTCTCTTACTTGTCAGTTACAGGCAAAATCATTGAACTTGTGGGTGCGAGTTCATCAAAAGAAAGATCGTTAAACTCATTTGGCAAGCCGAGGTCAAGATTCAACTTTCATTAATTTGTTTTGTTCAGCAATACCCAACATATAAGTCAATGACGTCGCTTGTTGCTCATCGTTCACAGAGACTCGCTCCACTGTTCGACCCACCTTAGTGAAATTCCTGACTACGCCCCTGATCCATGTGATCTAAGGATCTATCAATTCAGTTCACCAATCTATTGATCCAATTTGCCACCTCGGCTCATTGTCTGACATTCAAATTACCAAAACAATTGGACCGGTAGAGAACATTCACCAACTCTTGTATGCTCACTATGAGTGATGAACAAGCTATCAGAATTAATGACATAAAGCATAGACCTTAACACCCTTTTCCATCTCAACCCAAGAACCGAATCAATGGAAGAAAGGGAAAAAAACACAAAATCTTTGGAATTAACTGTGATCCACTCTTACGAGGTTGGTCTACCTAGTTGCTATTTGCTACTACTTCACTCCCTTCGGGTTGGAGCTAAAATGGGAGAACAAAGAAAAGTGAAAGAACAAAAGAGACAGAAAAGAGAGTTCCTTGCCTTCTCTTCAGCCACAAACAAAGTGAAATTACACAACTCACTGTCCCCCTCCCTCCCTCTTTACTACTTTGATTCCTTTCCTTTCCCCCATTCCAATACCAACAGACCTCCTTATAATAACACCACCACAGTAGTACAACTCTTAACTCTCTTCTAGTCCTCTTCCTTCCTTCCTCCCTGCCTCTGTTTCTTTTTCCCCCCTTTACTTCTTTTGTCAGGATTCCCTTCCCACACTGGAAACCCCACCATGATCACTCTGCTTTCCCACAAGTAGAAGCAGAGGAAGCAGCCGCCTTGTTCCTTGTTTCTACTTATTACCCATTACACTCTGCCTCTCCACAAAGCAAAAAAACATGTCGACTAGACCCGCGCCGGAGCTATCCTCCAGCTCCAAACGCCACCACTTCCACTGGACCAAAAAGATCGGAACCGAAGACGAAGACGACGACGACGAAATCCCCCCACCAAACGCCGCCAAACCCTCTGCGATTCCAACCCTCAAGCATTCCGCCTCCTCGATCACCAGAGACGAGAGCAACGCCAGGTTCGGAGGAGGCGGAATCCCAACTCCCAGAAAGAAGCTCCCCGCCGTGGCCGTGGCCAGGCTCCGATCCGTTCTCTCCAGTTTCAGCAGGAACCGGTTCGGGTCGTCGTCGGGTCTTGGGCCTCGGGTCGTGGGTACCCTGTTCGGGTCGAGAAAGGGCCACGTCCATTTCGCATTCCAGAAAGATCCCACTTCCCCGCCTGCGTTCCTCATCGAATTGGCGACGCCAATTAGCGGTCTTGTTAAGGAAATGGCATCTGGGTTGGTCAGAATCGCCCTGGAGTGCGACAAGAAGCAAGGAGAAGACAATCATCGCCAGAGGAGAAAAGCTGCCTCTGGAGCTTCCCCTGCCTCGGGTGCGGGCAATTCTAGCAGTGCGGTTCGGTTGCTGGAGGAGCAGAATTGGAGGGCGTACTGCAACGGGAAGAAGTGCGGGTTCGCGGGGAGGAAAGAGTGCGGGGCAAAGGAGTGGAAGCTGCTGAACGCGCTGGAGCCGATCTCGATGGGGGCAGGGGTCATGCCGAGCTACGGGGAAGGGGAGAGGACCGAGATCATGTACATGAGAGCCAAGTTCGAGAGGATCGTTGGGTCCAGGGATTCCGAAGCTTTCTACATGTTGAACCCAGACAGCAATGGCGCTCCTGAGCTCAGCATCTATCTGCTTAGAGTCTAGTAAATTAGAGGGGGCAGTGTGGGGAAGAAGGGGGATACTGTTCATCTCTTAGACTTTGGGACTGCAGGTTTAGAAGTTCTTCCTGTTGTTTGTATAGTGGGATTTTTGTTTTGGAATACAGACTTTGTTAGTGAGTGGTGGGTGGGAGGGAGACAATGGAGGGGCTAAATGAAATCATGAATGTCTTTGATTTTGATTCCATCTCTATCTTGCTTGCTTGTTTGATTGTTTGTTTTGTTATGTTCAAAGGGATTGATTGGATTGGATTAGATTCCACTTGCGTTTGTTGGCCGCAAAATCAAACAATTCTATGTCAGTGTGGGAAATTGGAAATGTGGGTTTCTTAAGCTTCAACTTTCAAGGATTATCAAAGGAAAAAGAGAACACCCCAAATAGAGGAAAAGAGAGTGGTGGGGATCTTTCGGCCCTTGCTCGGTTTTCCTTGTGGTGTGGGGTTTTCATACTGATGTAGATACTAGATATGATAATTTATCTAGCATAGCATATAACATTTTCTTTTTCTTAAGGAGGGCACTCACAAAGCCGTTAGGATCCAGGTGTTTGTATTTGTACAGACTAAAGTGTTTTAGGTTTACGTGAGGATGAGAGCTATAGGGATTAGGGATATTCTTTCTTATTTAGAATTTTCACTAGGATGAGCTTGCGCTTTGCCGCAAGCTAATCAACCATTGTGTCGTTGTGGTTGCAGGTTGAAATTTGTTTCCTTTTATGTTGATGTATTTACGATGGTGAACTTTTGTGAACTTGAAAAAGAAAAGCTCTAGAGAGAGAAGCAAAGGAAATACAAAGTGGAATTCATCTTAAAATTCCATGCCTTCAAATCTTAGGAGGAAAACAACACCTACTAACTACTACGTAATAAGTAGGAAAAAATCTATGTTTTTTTTTAATTGAAATGGACATTTAGATGGAAAAGTTAGTAGTTAGTGGTTCAATTATTAACTATTAAAGACCTGTTGGGATTTATGAAATAAGGCAAAAATGGAAATGAAGAAAGCGAGATAGAGGGCAATTGAAAAATGAAATGAAGATAAAGTAGAAAAAATATTTTGTTAATTAGTAAACTTTTCATGTTTGGTCTCCCATTATATGTTTTAATTGTTAAGTAATTTGGGAACAACATTAAATTGGGGAACCACTTAGATCAAAGCGGTTCTTGTCTTGGATAATTACAAACAGTGTCGGCAGAGTCGGGTACGGGCACGAGTCTCTTGCCTATGCCTACGGCCCATGAGATTGCGGCCCGCAAGGGGAAGGCCAAGATGCCAGGTTATGACGCGGATGGGCTTCCAATGAATGTTGGGCCAGAGATGGTGGGTCACTATGCTAAAGGCGCCAATGGGCTAGGATGGTTGGACCTGGATGCTGAGCCCGAAGATGATAAGTTCAGCCTGGCGGATCCACAGGCGTAGTGGACCGGACCGGAGGTGGACCAGAGAGGGCCTGGTGGGTCGGGGAGGGCTGCCGACCTGGCTGGGCGGATGGGTCCAGATCCGGCAGGACGGACCGTAGCGAGCGTGGCTGAGGCGGGTCAGACCGGACCCGGTCGGACCGGTACGGGGAGGGTCGATGCTGGGCAGACCGAGGTGGGTCGGACTAGGCCGGGTCGGGCCGAAATGGGTCGGCCCGAGGTGGTCCGAGCCCTTCCAATCAGCAACTGAGAAGGGTGGACAGTAGGGGACCAGTTTGTCTGGAGGGTTCGCATGGGGCACCCTATGTTCCGGGCGGGTACCAGGGCCCTCCAGGTGGCTACCCGGGGGACTACGGGCATGAGAATACGAGCCGGGCGCCGAAAAACATGTACGGGCAACCGTGGAAGACACCGGGTAACGACAAGTATGGCTCATATTGTATTAACTATGAAGGAGCTGATGGAGTGGTCTTTTGTGCCAAGCCTCCTACCATTGAGTTTCCAAAATTCAATGGGCAAGAGGATGCAGGTCTTTGGTTGTATGCAGCTGAGAGGTGGTTTAGAAACCATCAGATTCCGGAGGAGAGAAAGTCCTATATGGCGTCGTTTTATTTGGAGGGTGATGCACCCTAGTGGTGGGAGTGGATGGAGAAATCATATGCAGCGGTCGAGACTTTGATTACCTGGCCCATGTTTCAGGAGGAGCTCCGTTACCTGTTCGGGAAGTCAGAAGGGTGGGCCCCTGTGCAGTTGGTCAAGCTGAAGCGGACTGACACTTTGGTCAATTACCGCGCTGAGTTCTTCAAGCTGGGGAAACAGCGCAAGGGAGTTCCGGAGGACACGTTGGTGGCGCTGTGCACGGCGAGCCCCAAGCCCGAGATAGCTGCAGCGGTCAGAGTATTTGAGCCAGATTCCTTGAAAGCTGCTTTTCGTCTTGCAGGTCACAAAGAGGAGGAACTCGCCCGCTGGAGGAACTCCATAGGTCATTACCCGAAGTCGAGTGGAGGTGGAGGAAGCAGTGGGGCCGGTGGTAGCAGTGGAGGAACGCCGGCAGGAAATGCAGCGGGAGCTAACGCCAGAGGCGGGGGCATGGTGGCGGTGGCCAGGATGGGACCGCAGGCCATACCAAAAGGGTTCGTGCGACTGTCGCCGACCGAGATCGAGCAAAAGAGGCAGGAGGGCAAGTGCTTCAATTGTGATGGCCGGTTCACGATCGGTCATCAATGCCCGAAGCCGGATCTGATGATGTTAGTCGAGCGCTGGGAAGATGAAGCAGAAGATGAGGCCGAGGACGTCGGAAACTGCGAGGAGGAGACCCAGTGAGCGAGAGGAACAACCTTTTGGACAAGGTTGTTTTTCAAAGGAAGCGGGGATGATAGAAACTTGCATTCTTAGTACTTTGATTAATTATCGGTTATTTGTTATTTCGGATTATTTGGGTTGTTTAGGGAAGATAGTGATAAGTCGGCTAGTAGTCAGTAATTGTTCATTTATATATATACTACTTGTAAGTGGGATTAGGGCTTAAGCAAGAATTAAACCTAAAACCTCATCTTCTAATTCCTCTCCCACTCTCTGTCGTCCTTTCTCCCTCCCCTCTTTTCCCTAGGTTGCCGACCAGCCTCTTCCTTCCTCCTCCTTCTTCTGCTTTCGTTCCCCAAACCAATTCCCCATCCCCTTTCTTCTTCCTCATCCAAACCAACCTCCTTCATCCCCCATTTTTGTGTTACAAGGAGATCAATCCCTAATTGATCCCTTCAATCCCAATCTCTAGATAGAACCCTAATTCCCAGGTTCTATCATTGTGTCTATCTGGGAGACTCCTTAATCTCTTGGAAATGTATTAAGCAAAAGACGGTGTCCAGATCCTCCTGTGAAGCGGAATACAGGGCACTCGGATTTGCTACTTGTGAGCTTCAATGGCATCTCTACTTGCTCAAGGACTTCCAGGTTCCTCACAAGCATCCAACTACTTTATTCTGTGATAATCAAAGTGAGATTTATATCGCCCAAAATCCCACCTTCCATGAGTGCACCAGGCACATAGAGCTGGATTGCCATCTGGTTCGTGAGAAATTGCTCAGCCATACCATCAAACTTCTTCACGTCTCCAGTTCAGATCAACTGGCTGTTTCGTTCTCTCATTGCCAAGCTTGGTATGCGAAATCTTTGCCCACCAGTTTGGGGGGGGGGGGGGGGGGGTAACAGCCCAGGATTTGAAATCCCTAATCAGTCCCACTTCGACCGTTGGAGAATAGCGCCATTTGACAGACGAAGAAGATAACTCAAGTTACTAATACACACCGTTTTGATTAAGTGCAGCGTTTTAGTTTCACCATCCTATGTTGTGTCGTTTTTACCTTTCTTCGACTCTGTGTTTACTTTCCTGTCAAGCTTGAGGTTGTTTCCATTTCAAGCAAACAAACAACATGTAGCTGTGTATGCTTGTCTTGTTCTGTAATGCGTTCAATATAAGAACCAGATGAATGAATGAGAAAGGCTTTAAGTCTTAGGGTTTCAACCTTTTTTAGAGGCTCGAGGAGCTAATTGGCGCCGGAGTTGTGGGGCCAAAGATGAAGCGACGGCAGTGGGGTTACGCAAACAAGAAAGGAAGTAGAGAGGGTGGGGGTTCTCCTCGATAGTTGTAGGGGAATTGAAAGAGCATAAAAATAAAATTATTTTAATAGTTATTTTTTGCTACAAAATAATTATATAAGTCATAATACGGGGGTAATATAGTCATTTCCAGACCTTGTTAACGGGAATTTGATGAAAATAGTAACAGAAGGGTACATTTGTTATAGTTTGATAGTTGAAGGGCATAAAAGTGCAAAAAATCAATAGAGGGGCACGTTTGTTAACTTGTAATAATAGAGGGGCATACAATGCTATTAACCCTAATGTTAATTAGTAGAAGTTAAGACTTGACGATTATGATTGTACTATGTTTTAAAAGATTTTCTCTATGATGTATTCATTTAGTCTTTATGTTAATTTTTCAAAATTAACCTTATTATGGGTCTGATATGTAACCTTATTTTTTACCAGATTGTATTAGAGTTAGGCCGTTTGGAGAAGTACTACATATAAACCCTTTGTAATAGGTATCTTCTCAAGTATAGTGCAACTACCTTACTCCTGCACGTGAACTAGCTAACACATATTGCATTAGTGAATCGCGTAAATCTGTATGCATTTTACCTTCTTATATTGTCGATTGTCCATATCCGTTCTAACACAGGTCTGAGCATCAACGGTGAATCTATCTTTTGCCTCCAACTACTGTTTCATGCATATTCATAGCTATATATCTTTCTTGTTAAGAAGAGTTCTTCCTCGGTTCATTTCCGAGTGCTGACAAGGAGAGGGCTGTAAGCTTAGTCATCACATCAGGTAACCCTACCAGCAGCTACGGTAACTTAACCTTGTGATAGGCTCTCTTTTAGCATATGTAAGAATGATGAGTCATTGGGCCCTTGGCCTTGCCATGTTATTGCCCACTTCCCTGTGTTTGGTGTAGTAGGATTGTAGGACTGCATTGGCAAGTGTGTTAAATTATTTACTACATCGATCACATTCCAATTCCACACAAAAAGAAGGATTTGATTTGGGGTCCAAAAGTGCAAATGTGTTCCCAATCATTTGCTTTTTGGGTGTGTGCCTAAATTCTCTGCTATGCTCTCTTGTGTATTGATCCCAATGCGCTCATCGCCTTTACTTTATGGCTCTCACCTTCTAATAATATACCACCTCTC